CCCCAAAACCCCAAAACCCCAAAACCCCAAAACCCCAAAACCCCAAAACCCCACAGATGAAATAAAACTGAAATAAATCATTTATGAAGAAATCGCTTTATCTATAAGTTCTTGGTTGGAGACTTCTTGGGAGATTTTCTCTTGACTTTCTTTCCAGGAGATCTAATTGGGCTCTCTTCTCTAAGCTCTCTTCCGATGAGAGTTCTCTGAATAGCAACTTTTTCAACTACCTTTTTGCTAGTTCCTTTTCTTTCGATTTTTTCAAGTTCGATTGGGGTGTAAATGTCAAGGAACTCATCGATAGTGAGGTATCCTCCTCCTACTCTGATGATTATTCTGTCTTTTTCTACTCTTACGTAGATCTTCCTGGATCCAAACTGGTAAATTCCTGAGCTTTCTCTCATGAACATGATCTTGAGCTTTGATCTATCTGGGTAATTGTTGATATATTCAGCCAGTCTTTTATCGATAGGATCTTCCCTAACTGGAATATAGATAGCAACTCTGCTCTTAAGCTCATAGATGTAATCCTTGAGTACATCAACTTCTCTCTCAGATTCTTTTACTTTATTCATGAGAGTCATACTAGTGGAGTTGGCTTTATGAACTTTCTCTTCAAGGTCAACCATGAAGTCACTAGCTTTAGTAAGCTCGTCTCTGAGATTTACTCTTTCTTCTTTGTAATCTTCTTTTTCTTCTTGAGATCTAATAAGTTGCTTCTCAACATCTTGAAGTCTGTTTCATTCAGCTTGTGAAGAATCAATCTCTTGTTTCACTTTATGAATGATAGTTGTAATTTCCATGATCTTTTTCTGTAGTTCAGTAATTTTCTCTTCTCTAGACTTCAAAACTGTCTCTACTTCAGTCTTTTGTTGATGAATCTGACTGAAATGCTCGTTGTCTTGCTTCCTCAGTTCAGCAAATTCCACCTTCAAAGCTTCGATGTCTTTATGAAGCTGATCTCTTGAAGCTTGGAATTCCTTAAGATTTTCAATGAGTTGGTCTCTCTGCTTCCTAGTTTCATCAAGGATCACTAGTCTCTTCTGAAGGTCATGAATGGTCTGGTCTCTCTGATCTACAGTATCCTTGAGTCCATCGATTTCTCTTCTAAGTTCTGCAATCAAAGACTGAGCATCTCTGAGTTCATTGCTCAACTTTTGTCTAAACAGGTATAAATTAATTGATCAGATTTCCAAAATCACAGATATAAATAAATCTTAACAATTTTATTCCTGAAGGACCTTAACCGAATCTTACCTTTCTTCATGCTCGTGCTTGAGTTGTTCTTGATGATTGTCCAAACATTCTTCGTAGTCATTTTGGAGCTCGATCCTTGCATTCTCTGCATCGTTTACTTGATCAGCATATTTCTCATTAAGAGCCTTCATCTCAGTTAAATTAGCAAGATCCATATTGAGATTGTTGATTTCCTTTCCTTTCTCAGTGATCTCATGGTCTCTTTCATGAATAGTCTGCTCGCGATCTCTTCAGTCAGCACCTAGCTGGTCAACTCTTTTACTGAGTTTCTCTATCTCATCATTCAGTTCATCTTCTCTTGCCTTTGTCTCTTCTGCTCTTTGCTGGACTAGGCTACTGGATTCGCCCAATTGGTTTTGCAATACAACTCTAGATTCTTCGTTTTGGTTAAGAGTAGTGATCACTGTTTCAAGCTCTTTCTCAAGGTCATTAGTAGTCACAATCTTAGACGAGAGTGAAACAATGACATTTTTCAAGTGCTCAGTTTCTACGTTCTTTGGAGTCAATTCTTGATAAACTTCCCTTGTAATTGTCTGAGAGATCCTTGGTTGGCCATCAGGAGTGCCCTGTCTTTCATCCAGGCTCTGAATTTCTGGATCCTGAGATTGAGAGTCTTGGATTTTATCTTCTTCCATTTTCAGGCTTGTTAAGTTTTATTTTTATTACTTAAAATTCAATGATAAATTTATTTGACGGGGTTTTGGGGTTTTGGGGTTTTGGGGTTTTGGGGTTTTGGGGTTTTGGGG